TTTTAGCTGAAATTGTCGTCTTTGTTCTTGCTTTTTTTTTTTTTGTCTTGTGTTTTTATGTACAGCAAATAAAATCTGAGGCTTACGCCAAGATTTTCCACAACTCCCTCGAACCTGATATCCTCAATCTTATCCTGAGGACTCTACATGACTTCTACATGAAGTAAGTTTGTTTTTTGTTTGTTTTAAATGTCTACGTCAAAGTTATGGTTAATCGTAGTATTATTATGCATTAAGCATCCTGTTATTTTCAGTCATACTCAGACAAATAGGTGCAGCCAAACTCTTAAAGTAGTGAACACGTGGAGCTCTGTGGTGGATTTAAAAAACAGCTTTGTTTGCAGGAACGAAGAGCCGGCCGTCATACTGGAGACTCTCAGGAGTCTTGCAAGCGTGAGGCGCTTCGATATGGCTGTTATGTTCATGTCATCACCAGAGAAGAAAGGTTGAGTGTTTACACGATGCGCCGCTGCAAACGGCTTCACTTTGTCTTTTTCATCCACATTTTTCCAGCATATTGATCATTTCTGGTTTTCTTTTCCTCACAGTGCTTAAAGAACTGTTTGACTTTCTTCACCAAGCCGACCTGGACAGATCATCTATCACGGCTTTGCAGAAGAAGTATGGCGTGTAATTGCATTGAATGGAAATTTGGCGCCTCAGCAGACTTTGGATTTCAGAGAAAACCAAAAAAAATTAGCTGTTGTTTGTTTGCTGAATAAACTTTTGTTTAATAAGACTGCAGAGCTGTGAATCTTTCCTCTGGAAAGGCGCTGTCGTTTTCTGTCATAAGCGAGTTTATTTAAAGTTGGAGGCTGGAAATTCAGTTTCAGCTGCATTTTAATAAAAAATAAAGAAAAACTTTTCACAGAGGTTCACTTGACTGTTGATTAAGATAGACTCTGCAATTTGCAAATGCAATAAAAGCAGATGTTTACCTTCAATAGCAAGAAATTGTTCAGAAATGTAAATGGCACCAAGTTATTAATCACAGATCGTTTATGGGGTTTTTGGAATATCTAGGCAGGCATACAGAGGCGATGTTTAAACGTGCCACTCCTGTTGTCCCAAATTTAAGTTTGTAAAAGTTTAATTGAGAATTAAAGGTTTTAATCAAGTTTTAGTTGTGTTAAAACTCTGTAACAATATGAATGGGTCTGTTTGAGCAGTTTGAAGTAAGCCAAGAAAACTAAATATGTTGAACACCAAATAAAGAATCATTTTTTTAATGTGTTTGGACTTTGATAATTTGATGAGTCTCCCCAGGTGTGAGAAATGGTAGAAAATGAGTTTTAGTAAATACCCAAGCTGTTGAGTCTTAATAAAATGCAGGTAAATGTGGAACCGAAAGGTTGATTCTGTTCATCTGGACGTAGCGTTTTCAGTGGGAGAAACGTTTTGTCCAATCCAAGTGACTTCTTCAGTCTCAGCTGACTGCAGGTTTCCCCGATCTTGTAAACAACATTTGCATAATGACTGAAACCAGCCCAGTGAAGGAACAATGGGCTGTGAGGTCAGTTCATTGATCAATATGCAAATTGTCATGATCAAAGAAATCTGATCAATGGCCATGAGTATCACTCACACACTCACAGCATTGTAATATGGTGACAGATGGACCCTTAGGCCCCCTCTC